ATAGAAATCTGGCGGCCATATCAGTTCCCTTTTCAGACGTAGCATTCAATTTCATTAACTTTGGGTTTATAATCATTGACATTGAATTTACTCCATACTCTGTTTTATTGTCATTTGATGAGTTGATTGCCATCTCCTTGCCGATTGTTGGTCCTCACTTGCCCACCCTATGTTTTGATTATTGCCACACGAAACGGTTAAGGGCGAGAGGGTTCGACTACGTGCCACGTGAAGACTTGGGAGTTGTGGAAAGAATTGTGCATCTACGTCCCTCTGATTCCGATTCTGAGCTCTGTGAGACCCGATGTCAAACGCTCATCCATAACCGAGATCATTCGTACAACCATGCACCGTTCTGACTGGGCAAAAGACACCGTAGAGCACAAAACAATGTTCAGAGGTATTTGTTGAATTAGAACTCGAAAAATGTTGTTTGCACCTTCCGCCCGTTGTTTTGACCCTAACCGGACCCGCACGACAGATTATCAGTTCCGATTTTGAACTCTGGACTCACCTTTTCCTAAAATCCTTGGCACAGTCTCATTGCATGCTTTTCGGTCCCCGTCCCGCATTTTAGTCTGCTGACACGTGGTTAATGGAAGACCCAAAATTCGGGGTTTTTCGCCGCATCACTGCAAGCAATGTCGTCGAAAAGTTTGCAAACAAACGATGCAGGCTCATAATACAAACATAAAAAAGAACAAACAGGCAAAAAAAAACGAATTTCTTTTTTTGAACAACACTATAAGTTCGCCAAAACGTTTCCCGAATTCGTTTTTTTTGCCAATTTTTTCGTTACTCGTCCAAATACGCCGAAACTGAATACAGAAATGCCCTAAAGCTTATACATATTAGAMAAAAAAAAAAAAAAAAAAGGGAAATATGGCAGTTTCGATGAAGAATTCGCCGAAAATGACACCACCTATTAACCACGAGTGGTGCATAAAGGAAAGCAATGTAGGGCGTGAGGTTGAATGTCGTATTTTTGGGTTTTCTCCCAGTAAAGTTGGGCTCATTAAGGCATCCTGCAATAGGAGGCCCCTTCCCCTGCTGTCTGTACACTACCAGGGAACGCAAACCTATACCTCTGCAAAGTTTACACACGTAAGTGGTGGTAAAAGAGCGAAGCTGCACCAGCCCCTCATCATGTGCATGGGCAGGTGCTGGTGGCAAGGTTGCAGTGCTGTTCGTAGTGCTGAGCGTTGTCGCCACTCGCTGCACCTCGCCTTTCCCCTCCGCCCACCCTACATAAACAGTGTCTAATGGGTGTAACAAAATATGGTGATGTGTCTTCCCATGTTCTAGTGGAAGACTCATTCTCATTTTGCACATTTGGTGAGTAGTGGAGGCCTCCGTTAACCGTCTCTCCGAAAATTGAGGCCTCCGTTAACTGTCTCTCCACACGTTACACAAAACAAGTTTTGTGAGTCGTTTTACATCGTATGCCTGCTGCCACATGGCAGCTACACAACCTCGGTACTCACTAACATTCATTATGTGTGAGGTGTCCGGGCAACTACATTTTCACACCTTGTGAGGAGTTCGTTAGCTCCCACGTGCATACCTACCGATTTCTGAGGATACTCTGATGAGGAGAGAAAGGAGCCCCTCCAAACCATTAGTTTTGCTAATGGAGCCAACGTCAAAAAGAGAGGAAAACGAAAGTGTTTGTTTTTACCGTTGTGCGTAGTGCTTGTTCATACGTTTTGCTTCCCGTGCGGCAGCAAGTGCAAAAGTGGAGTTCTTCAATCATGAGGGAATCATGACAGCACTCATACTTTAGGTTTGTTTGGTTTGCCTTGTGGCGAGGCGCTAACGTTGGCCTAAGGGGCCAGCAGGCTATGTACTAGATGGTAGAGCATGCCCCGCACATAAGTGAGTCCATGGCCTCGTCAATGCAAATTGCATGGCTTACAGGACCAGTACATCCATGACTCTTCTGCATGAGGCAGATTCCAACTGTGCACCAAGCTTTGCTGAAATGCCGTGCTGGCCTGTGGGGTTTTCTGTTTTTTTTTTTTTGTTTCTTTGTGTAATGATAAAAACTACACTATATTCTTCTCTCAATTTCACATTTCACTGCCCACCTACCCTTACTCCTAAGCCTATACAGGGGATGGATGTTGCCCCCCGCCCTAATCGGCAGTGGTCAGGGAGTAGGGTGCCGCCGCCGGTTGGGGGGCGGCAGCTGCCGCAAAGACCGAGCATTTTGCCAGTAGCTGCGCCTCCCATCTACTTCCCCCACCCCCATAGAGTTACAGCAGTGCCTATGGCCAGCACTCTCCCACTCACCACACACAACCTCTCCCCCCCCCGCCCACCCCCCCACACACAC